TTTCTGGAAAACCAAAGCTTGATGACAAGAGAGCAACAAAGCAAGTTGTTGCACTTTTAAGTGCTCCACTTGATAAATACAATGATATTGTGACTGCCCTGACACTTTCTAATTATCCTCGTGTAATGGATCATCTTGATAATGAAACAAATAAAGTCATGGCCATGGTTATTATCCAAAGCATTATGAAGAATAACACTTGCATCTCTACAGCCGATAAGGTGTGTTACTTTGCTATTGGTTCAACATAACAAGTTTATCTCTGTGTATCAGTGTTCAATATTCTTTTGTAGGTTGAAGTTTTATTTGAATTAATAAAAGGGCTTATTATGGATTTGGATGGAACAGTTGTGGATGAGGTATGCCTGAGTATTATTGTTTTTGGCTTTTTATCTTTGAATTATTTATTCAAAATTAATTTTTAGGACCAAATATATCTAAACTTACTTCCTAAATAAATATAATATTTGTTCAAGCTCAGCCCAATTTAAATATTTGTTCCATCTTATTTATAGGTTGATGAAGAAGATTTCAATGAGGAACAAAATTCTGTTGCTCGCCTTGTACACATGCTTCATAATGATGACCCAGAGGAAATGTTTAAGGTGTTCGCAATCAAATTGATTCCTCTGGTGTTTTTCTATTAAATGCTTCATACAACTTCTGACTCACTGATATTCGCAGATAATATGTACTGTAAAGAAGCATATTTTGAGTGGAGGACCAAGGCGCCTACCTTTTACGGTTCCTTCACTTATATTTTCTGCACTTAGGGTATCTTCCTTCTTTGATTTTCAATTTCTTTTATCTCTAGTCCGCTACTATATTTAACAATTTTCTTTAGTTGAACTCTTTTTGTGAGGTCCATATTCTATAATAAAGCCACCAATTGGTTGTACAAGGCTTCTTTGAACCGTGTACCCCTGAGGCTGGAGATGTTTATATGCAAAATTTTAAGTACTTAATCTTGTCTTCCCTTTAATCAACCCTGCACAGGAGCTTGTGAAGTATTCTGTAAACATTCACAAAAGTTGCATTATGGCAATTACTTCAACTCTAGAGTCTTGAGGTTTTATATTTGTGATCTAATGGTTAAGCCTAATTATTTTGCAACCTTGTGATGGCTTTTATGGTGACAAATGTTATTAGTCATTAGATTTATAAAATCCAGAGAGTTTTCTAGTTTCAATTGGATATTCTTGAGGCAAGAAGCCCTTAAAATATATACTTAAACTGTATGCCACCCTGTGTAATTAGGGGTTTACTTCTTGATATTGATATATAGGAGTGAAGAACTCAGGATCTTTCTTTTATTCTTTTGCCTTTTTGAATCATGTTTTGCTGCAGTTGGTCAGGCAATTGCGTGGGCAGGATGGAGATGTAGTGGGAGAAGAAGTACCTACAACACCAAAAAAAATATTTCAGCTTTTAAATCAGGTGATTTAAAATGTATGATCTTAGCATAGAAGAATAATTTAGTTTCTCTTTTCAAGCCCATGTAGGTGTACAATATCTTGGAATATTTTTGGCTGGGTATATCTGCATACTGTGTAGCGTATTAAGTCACTTCTAAATTTATGTAATAATTTATCTGCGTACTGTGTAGCGTGTTAAGTCACTTCTAATTTTATGTAATAATTTATCCACCATATGTGATCATTATATGATGGACAAGTAGCATTTATTTTGTTACAGACAATTGAAGTTCTTTCTTCTGTATCATCTTCTGAACTGGCTCTGAGACTGTATCTGCAATGTGCTGAGGTATTTTTGACCCTGCAAACTTAAATGATCAAATAGGTTTCACTTTTGTCTCTCCCTTTATTCCCAAACAGCTCTCAGAAGACCCAGAAAAGGGGGTTGCAGATGAAGTTGCGGCTTGAAAACTGATTCTCTGCCACTCAAAGATAGTTTATGAGGCTTAATTTATTTTTTCCGGATTGAAGATTTAAATCATTAGTCTGTCTGTGTGGGTAAATGATTTTAAGGGCTTTGTTCTCACAGGACTTGTGTACTATCTCACTACCACTAACTACAATGTTTCTGGATATTATTATGACTCTTTATCCTGATTATGATAAGTTTCTCATTTTGCACAGCTGTTTCAGTGACTATTTTTTTAATCTCTCTCTCTCTCTTTTTGTTGTTGTTGTTGTTGTTTTGTTTTGTTTTTTGTTTTTGTGTTAACCAGGCTGCTAATGACTGTGACCTCGAGCCTGTTGCTTATGAATTTTTCACTCAGGCATTTGTATTATATGAAGAAGAAATTGCGGTAATTATTAATTAAACAATCCTTTTTAAGATTTTCTAAATGTGGCTGAGAAGTGATCTTTACTTATCCGTTTTTTAATAATGGTTTTAGGACTCTAAAGCCCAGGTAACTGCAATACATTTAATTATCGGAACTCTTCAGAGAATGAACGCCTTTGGTGTTGAGAACAGAGATACATTAACACACAAAGCCACAGGGGTATAATACTGTTTACCTATTTTCCATTTTTTCTCCCTTCTCTTTTTCCTTTGAGAGTCTGTTTGGATGAGGGATAATGACGGGGATGGAAGTGGACAGGATGGGAAGGGAATAATTCCTCTTGTTTGAGGGTTTAAAATTTTTTGGAGGGAAAGGGGAATGTGAGGGAAACCATTCAACTTCTCTCTCAAACCAAGCTACTGAAAAATGCAACCAAGTATTATACTGAAATGTTACCCTTATAATAACCCTTTCCCTTTCCCTTCCCCTTCCTTCACTAATCGTCCATACATGGGGTAGGCAAGTCCTTTCCATTTCATCCCTTCCCTTTTATTCCACCCCCTTCTCCCCAAAACTTCCACCCAAGTTAGTCAAAAATTCCATTATAAGTTAAAGGCATGTGACGAGTTTTCTCGAAAGGATGGCCATTAGACAGCTGGGTTGCGGCAACTGTTATTTAGCTTATTAATGCATTCATGACAAAACCTAACTTAATGTTCTATCTTTCTGTAGTATTCAGCAAAGCTTTTGAAGAAACCTGATCAGTGCCGAGCAGTTTATGCTTGCTCACATCTCTTTTGGGTGGATGATCAAGATGGTATTAAGGATGGAGAAAGGTATGCTGATAAATGCTCTACTGGGTTTAACTGGGATGATTTGATTGGCTTCATGCATTGGTGCCTTGGAATACTTGTGTTTTCTGAAGTAATTATGTCCTTTATTCAATATAGCATCAAGGTTTTGTATGTGTGCTACTGTAGGATTATTCAATGTAATTATGCTTTGCATAATTGATCCATGTGTTTATAATTGCTTTAAATTTTTTTTGCTAAGAACATTATTATATCACGAAGAGTCTTCAAGTTGCCTGTCATCTTTCTTGTTTTATGTTTTTTTCCCTCTTGGGAGATGTTGACTGTTTGACAAACAGGGTATTGCTTTGCCTAAAACGTGCTTTGAGGATTGCAAATGCTGCTCAGCAAATGGCCAATGTTGCAAAGGGTAGCAGTGGTCCAGTAACGCTTTTTGTGGAAATACTGAACAAGTTGGTCACCTTAAGCTATAAAATTGCTTGGTATATTATTTTCATGGTTTTCTTACTTACGAATAAGTATGTTCCAGGTACATTTACTATTTTGAAAAAGGAAACCCACAGATCACTAGTGCTACTGTCCAGGGGCTTATAGAATTAATCACGACTGAGATGCAGGGTGACTATGCATCAGCCCTTCCAGTTTCAGATGCTTTCTTTGCCAGCACATTGAGGTACATTCAATTCCAAAAACAGAAGGGCGGTATACTGGGTGAGAAATATGCTTCTATCAAGGTCTGAATCCCTGCTTTGCGTCGAACTGGCACATCCGAAATGTACAAATGTGAAGTTATGCTAAAAACCGAGCATGTAGTTTATCAATGTTTGTCCTCGGCCCATTTAGTACTCGTGCATTAAAATGCTTGCAGTGGCGTCAAGGTCATTTTAAATCACAGTTGATATTTGCAGTTTAATGTTTCATTAAAGCCACATGAAATGAATGTATCTAGTTCACTCATCAAAGCTTTTTGAAGTATCCTTTCCTTCAAATTTCATCACGTTTTGTCGTTTCCAGTCATGGTTTCTTGCGCACCTTTTGAAGCCCCAATAACACCGATGATTGCCTAAAGCCCATGAGCTGAGTCAATGAGTCCAGCACATGTCCACTCAACTATTGAATGTTAGCATTCACACATGGTATTTTATCATACAATTAGAGACAAAATATTGGTACTTTAAAATACCAAAACCATAAAAATCATATATCAAATCAGAATAAGTTCGGGCTATGAATATGATCACATTCACACCAGCAAGCAGTGCTTCGGATTGACTGCTGACATAAAACAGGAAATAAGCTGGCATCGGTTAATTATACTTGCACAGTATGAAATGTGGCCAGGCCACACATAAGTCCTAGTGATATTTAGACTCTAAAAAATGTCACTCCAAACAATATACAGCTTCTTGCTCCCGAATAAAAAGGTTGGCAGAAACTGCATGTCTGCCCCCTTTTAACTTCTAATTCTTGGTCACAATCTGAATTTTGAACTCACTCTGCCTTCTGTTTCTTTTGCTTTGGTTGTTGAAGAGCACTTTGATGGCGGCGTCAAATATTAAATGTGAGAAATCATAACCACACACTTGTCGTTGTTGTACGTAAAGCGGTTGCAGAAATGATCTTACCTCTCTATATATATATATATATTTATAAAAGTAGAAGAGTTTTATCAAAAGCCAGAAATGAAGAGAGGTAAAAGTGTGTAATCAATTTTAGAATTGGAGAGCTGCAGCTAAAAACAGTAATGATAATGAGGAGTAAAGTGACATTGATATTGGTACCTGAAGATGTACGTCATCTGCAATTTAGTTTTTGATTTATTCATATGATCAAGTCGTCAAGTTATTCATATGATTTATTCTGCTATCCTTAAGAATGATACCAGAAGAAGGAGTACCGTGAGACTGAGTTTCACTTAATTTAAATCAGGGATTAGTCAAAATTATGAGCCTGATAATTTTCAAAGAGTAATACAAAATTTTACTCTTAAGAAAAACATAAGAAGTAAATAATCAGATTTGTCCATGAAAGATATGAGGTAATATTAGTCCCTTGAAGAAGAAAATTGCCTCCGCATTCGCTGAAAGTGTCATCTGTCTAAATGCCCAAAGATCCATTCACTTCATGTGCAGTTTGATGGTGTTGTATCATATTATCATAAGCCATCATCAGAGCCTTTCCCTTGAAACTTTGGATTTCAAGTGTGACCAAAATACCATATTTTTATCAAACTGTTTGACTGATATAAGATAAACTTCTGTCATGTGAAACAGACATGAGATATCCGACTCCTTCCTATAACTTCTTTTATTTCTGCCTGCATGTTTCATTAGATCCTATTAAATGGAGATATTGTGGTTTGGTGAAAAAGGAGGATCCATGATTTCTTCATGTATCTTCCTAATTTTTTAGATTTATTTTGGTTAGAAAAAGCTTGCTGATCTGAGTGTCATGAGATTTGAAAACAAGAGGATTGAGGGGAAACAAGAGGGAATGATAAAGGGACAAAGTTTAATGGTCTACTGGTCTCGCAAAATTCAGAAAGAAATTACAGATGTTGTAATATTCTGCAACAAACAACCAATTACAGGCTTTAAAGTTTATCGTATAATTCGTGTATATAAACAACTCTCATATGAAAACATCTTTCATGGTTTGATTATCCTCAGTCATGCTCTTAAATATATACTAGGCCCTGCATCAATTCAAGTTTGGAACTGCAAGTGCGCTTTGATTCAATATTTACTTAGAAACTCCAAATGAACTCATTGATGGTCTTCATGATCACCCTTTTCTTGCTGTAGACTAACTAATTGCTTATAGATGCTTCCAGGTTTGGCAATAAGCCTCTCATGGCTACCCATTTCAGCAACCCTCCCATGTTGCAGCACTGCAATGCTGTCTGCATTGCGAACAGTTGAAAGCCTGTGAGCTACCAAAATTGTGGTTCTTCCTTCCATAAGCTTATCAAGAGCCTCTTGGACCAGCCTCTCTGATATTGTGTCCAGTGCACTTGTTGCCTCATCCAACAGAAGAATGGATGGATCTTTCAGAATAGCTCTAGCTATTGCCACCCTTTGTTTTTGTCCTCCTGATAACTGCACTCCTCTCTCACCAACCTCAGTTCTGTACCCTTCTGGCATTCTACTAATGAATTCATGAGCATTAGCTGCTTTGGCTGCCTTCATTACCTCTATTTCTGATGCTTCCTCTTTTCCATACTTGATGTTTTCATAAACTGTGGTAGAGAATAAAGCAGGTTCTTGCTGAACCAATCCTATTCTCTGCCTCAAGGATCTCAAGTTTAGGCTTTTGATATCACATTCATCTATCAGAACTGATCCAAAAGTGGGGTCATAAAATCTCATTACCAGAGCAATCACAGTGCTCTTCCCTGAACCACTTTGGCCAACTACTGCCAAACTCTTTCCTGCTGAGACTCTCAGGTTTAAGTTCTGAAATATGGTGACATCAGGTCTCATTGGGTACTTGAAGCACACGTTATTAAACTTTATCTCTCCTTTGACATCAGTTACCATCTTTGAGTTGGGGTCATTGGGTGTGATGGCTGTTCTCCTTTTGAGAATGCTGAAAACTGATCCTAGTGCTTGTGTTCCCTTCACAATGTCCGGGGTAAGAGCTAGTGTTTCTGCTATTGCTAGAGCAGTGACAATTAAGACCATGAAGGACTTCATGATGTCTCCAAAATTTGACTCTTTGTTCTTGATTAAAATGGATGCATACCAAAGGCCAAGTGCATAGGAGCAGTAAGCAAAAAGCTGTGTTATCCCATAGCCAAAACCTGATATGTGACCTCTTAAAAGTGCTTGTTTATTAGGTTTGTTCAATTCTGAGGAAAATTGGACTGAGATTCTATCTTCTGCACCAAAAGCAGCAACAGTACGTATGTTGGTAATAGCTTCACGAGCCAAAGAAATTGCTCTAGAGTAAGCAAGGCTATAATCTCCTCCAAATCCCTTGAGAAATAGTTGCTGCATAAATAATTGGAACTTAGCTATTCTGTTGTTTATAAGGGGAACATGAATAAAAGATTAGTGAAGTGGTTTTTATGAGATTAACCTCTGTAATAGAAGCTCCTATGAGAAGGGGAAGGCAGGCTGCAACAACTGATGCTAGTTTCCAACTCAATGTGAAAGCAATAACAAATGCTGTTACAGTGAGAGCAACATTTTGCACAATTGTTGAGAGTCTATCAGCTAGAGCACTTCTTACTAATGTTGCATCCGCAGCTAGCATGGCTGTTAGTTTGCCAGTGTTGTTCTCATCCAAATCAAACCACGCAACTTCATTGTTAAGAATAGCTGCAAGTCAAATTAATTATAATAATTTAGTAATGTGAAAATAAATCAAGAACATGCCAAAAGCTGTGAACCTACTACAACCACTTCCCGTTAAACCCCAATTAGTGAAAGTGGGGTGAGGGCAATCATTGTACACAGGTTTAACTTTGCATATTTGCAAATAAACTGTTTTCCGGATTTGAACCCGTGATCATCCAATCACAAAAAAACAGCTTTATTACTATTCCAGACTTGCCCTCGTAAATGGGAACCTACATTAGTCTTAAATAAAATTAATGCCGATGATTCTAATAGCAATGATTTTGAGACTTTGGAATACCTGAGAACATTGATAAACGCACACGTGCAGTGAGACGCTCTCCCATGAGTGTATAAAAGTAGTGTTGCAATAGATAAATAGGTACGGTAACAACAGCCACTCCAACAAATATGAGAGCTACCCGATCAACGTCTTGTTTGATTTTAGAACCATTAGGAGAGTAAAATGCAGTCAACATGTGAGTGATTCCAAGAGCAAAGAGAGGAGCTTCCATGCCAGCCATTATTGCACCCACTGACCCAAGTATTCCATAGGGCCACTCTGGAGCATTCAGTTTTAGTAAATCCAAAATTGATGGAATGGAAGCAGTGTTTGGTGGCAAGCCTTGATCACTTGCTTGCAGTTCTCTTGTATTCAGCTTTAACTCCTCATAGTTCAGGTTCTCTGAAGGTTCTCGAAAACTAGAATTTTTTGAACTTCCAGAACGAGATATTGAGTTAGAGCTTGTGTTGTTGTTTTGTGATGCTTGCAAACTCACCAGGTTCATGTAATCTCCATTTTTGGACATCAATTCCAAATGAGTCCCACTTTCAACAACTTGACCATTCTTCAACACAACAATTGTATCTACATCACGTATGGTTGATAATCGATGTGCAACAACGATTGTTGTCCGGTTTGACATTATTGTTTCCAATGCCTGCTGAACTATGAGTTCTGATTCAGCATCTAGAGCACTGGTAGCCTCATCTAAAAGCAGTATTTTTGGGTTTCTGAGCACAGCTCTTGCTATGGCAATTCTTTGCTTTTGCCCCCCTGAAAGTTGGGTGCCACCCTCTCCAACCTGAATTAAAAACACAATGTCAGCCTTCAAACTTAATGATATATATACCAATTCGAAAGTGACTTAGATGAGGACATAAACTTCTTTAAAAGCTATAATTTTTTTCATTCGACAACTAGTTCATCTCTAGTAGAAGGAAGATATCGTTAAGCTATTGAAGGTAATTTACACATTACTCTTGATCAAAAAGCTATGACATTAAAGGTAATTTGGCCTAGCTCCGAAAGGTTGGCTCAAGTGACAATATGAACTCTAGAACGAATGAACTGCCAAAAAAGCAGAGTTCGAATCCTGAATCTTTGGAGTTAAAGCTGGATAATTGTCATGCCACTCGATCTAGGATTAATCCTGTATCTACGCTAGCCTCTTTCCCCACCAGGATCGTGGGATGCCGGAGGACTTGACTCACACAAAAGGGGTAATTAGAGTCATATACTAAAAAAATTATGGGTAATATGGCCTGTATTTCCCATTTCTAGGTCATAAGAATAAGGATTGCAAGACTCACCTGAGTGTGATAACCATCAGGTAATCCTTGAATGAAAGAATGAGCATTTGCAGCCTTGGCAGCTTGTATGATTTGATCCATGTTTGCATCATATTTTCCGAATAAAATGTTTGTAGCTATTGTTGTGGCAAATAGTGCTGGTTCTTGACTAACCAAACCCATCTGTTCCCTCAACCATTTCAATTGAAGATTCTTTAGGTCATATCCATCCAACAGGATCCTACCTAGTGAAAATTAATGCATCAACCTCTCCTCCTAAATATAGAACTACACATTGACAAACAAAACTGGCTACATACTAATTAAATCAATCAAAATGTGGTTTATGTTTAACATAGGTGATTTTGGTTCCTTTTTCATTCTCCCTTCTTTCTTTCAAATGAAAAATCTACTTTTTACATAGTGATATTAATTACCTGAAGTGGGGTCATAGAATCGTTGGATAATGGAAACGATGGTGCTCTTTCCGGAACCACTGGGACCAACAACTGCTACAGTCTTCCCAGCACTCACTGAGAAGCTCAAATTTTCAAAGACCATATTGGACCTTGAGGGGTAAGAGAAGCAAACCTCGCAAAATTCGATTTTCCCTGCTACATGTGGCAGAACAGTGCCATTATCCAACCTTTTAGAATTGTTGGAAACGGATGCAATCATGTCCATCATATTGGCAGCAGCTACACGCCCTTTAGCAATGGAACCAAGGTTTGGAGCAGCTTGACCAAGAGCACTTCAATGGAGAAAAAGTCAACTTTGTAATCCAAAATAAAATCATGTAAGTTATTGTCATATCATATCAGTTTTGATGGACTTACAATCCACTAAAGACGGCATTGATAATAGTTGTGAAAGCTTTCCCTCCATTCGTCTTATTATGCCTCACAAGGATGCTAGCATACCACAGAAGCAATGCCCAAGCACAAAATAAAAGCCCATATGTAAAGCCTACTCCAACTCCTTTTGCAAAACCACTCTTCTTTCCCAGCTTCAGAGCATTATCAAGTGACTTGGAGTATGAACTAACTGCTTTCTCTTCTCCTACAAATGAATAAACAGTACGCACTTGAGAAATCACCTGATCCACGCCAACATAGAAACAAAAAAAGAAAGATACATTATTATGGCAAGGCATAGTTAAGATACCAATTTAACAATTGAAATAGTTGCTCAATAAAATCATTAATGGTTTTAATACCTCTTCTGCAACCTTCCCAGCTTCGGCATAAGCTGCTTCACCCTTTTCTGATAAAGTAGACATGATTATTGTATAAGCTCCTCCTGCTATAGCTATCAATGGAACAACAGCCAAGGTGAGTAGTGTAAGCTGCCACACTGATGTAAATCCAATGGCATATCCAACAACGAATTGAGAAAGGTAACGCATTGCATGGCCTGTCTGCATTAAGTTCAATAAATTGGATTAACTAAGGAACAAACCATCCCCAAATTATGGCTATAGAGAAATACAACATAATCAACGTGAGATAAATTTATCTTTCTCCATCAACACGAGATAAATTTATCTCTATTAATTCCAAAATTATGTTGTTTGGGGTATTGGGGAAATTAATTAAGGGTATTATAGTAAAATTCATGTAAGAAAAAACAAATCAATTTTTTTAAAATACCCTTCATTAATTTTTTCAAACCCAAAATGATATAATTTTGGAGTTGATAGAAATAACTTTATCTCTGATGAAGAAACAATGAACCCTTGTTTTATATGGTATTAGAGCCTTTGTGGCTAAATAATCATGGATTCAATACTTACCACCCTATTCTATTAATGAATAATCAAATATAATGAAATTGTTTAGAATAGGTAGGTGGATTTGTATATTATTCACATTTCGAGTCCATAGAACTCTAGTGTGAAGGGATATATTACATAAATATAATATAAAATTATTATTGTGGCCTTCACCAAATAAGATTTTTGGGTTGTTGAGAATAACACATGTTTTTTGTTTATGGAAAAAAGGTTTGTTCTTGTAAAGGACACAAGTTATATCCTTTTAGGGCTTGTTTGGTGTGACTTATAAGGTATGATATTATAAGTTTATACTATACGTTATGACATTTTCAGTTATTTGGTGTGACCATCGTATAGTATAAGCTTATACAGCAGAATTCCTTAATACATCAAAATGACGTATAACTTAATCCGGCCTAAGGGGGAGGGATAAAGCCTGATAAGAGATTGGTGTATTAACATCGTTGACTAATGTAATTTTCAAAAATTAATATATTATTTTAATATTAATCTATTAAAATAAAAATTAATTTTTCAATATATTAGTTTTTTAAATACTGAATATTTTTATTTTTGTAAAAATTAATTTATATTTTGGACACACTGATCAATAAATTTAAAAAAAAATTAATATCATATGATATTTTTTGAAGAATTATATAAATTCCTTATTAAAAGATATTTTTATTAAAAATATTTATTTGTATCCTATATAGTATTATATAGTGCATTACCAAATACTGGATGATATTATCTTATACAATATATTACTTTATACTATACCGTGCCAAACGCTGGATAATATTAAAATTCAACCAGGTCTTATACAATTAGGTCTTATACTATCAGGTCTTATACTATACTATGCACCAAACAGGCCCTTAGTTTTTTACACTATGTACTACGGGCAATACATAGTTATAATATGAAAAATTATTTTTTTTCTCTACACATCAGTTGAAATAATTGAGGAGAGAGCGAAAAAAAAAACTTTTCATATTATAACTATGTGAAATAATTATCTCATGCAACAGAGACAAAGGAGTAGAGTCCACATTTTTTTTTACAAATAGTGGACCTCACTATCTTGTTTCTGTTGCATGAGATAATTATCTCATGCAACATGAGATTAATAGATTCCTATAACTATATACTACCCATAATAATTAAAGGGTTTTATAAGAGTTATGTTGTAGGAAAAATGATTGTGTAATGTTAGAGATTCGTTTTTGCGTGCCATAATTTCTTTTTCTTTTTTCTTTTTTTTTCAAAAAGTGTGAGCCCCACAAAATGTTGTTTGTGTAGGAAAGTTTGTTGTGTCATGTTAAATGACAAATGCAAACCCCATAATTAAAAGGACACAATTTGTTTCTTTGATAAATACACACACTTAACCCTTCGTTTAGTTACGGGTTTATCATCTATCATTTAACATGACCATAAAAAGTTTTCTACACACATAATTTTGTGGGGCCCGCAGCAAAAAAAAAAAAAAAAACTTCGGCACGCAAAACAAATCTCTATAACATAACACAATCACTTTTCCCACAAGATAACTCTTATAAAACCCTTAGTTTATGTACCTTGTCACCAATTGCATCTTGTACTAATATTGCGTCACTAGAGATGTGGAAAATGATATTAGCGTCCCTGGCTTCATTGTCAAAAAAATTAATATCTTTCTTTAGCACTGCCTGCAAATATTTTAAGCGCAAACGAGCGGTTTGTCTCTCTCCCGTTTGCATCCAAAATGCAACACCTGAAAAATAGTAGAGATCATAAAACTTATAGCCATTAAGGAGAATATTGAAAAGGGCATTACTTAAAAGGAAAGAGATCAAGACCAAGTTATAAGATGTACCCATCCAAGCCGATACGAAAACAACCAGTCCAAGATAGACCAAGTACAAAGCATGCTGCAATGGTAAAGGCATGAGCATTTACATTATTCCATAAGCATACCTATGAATCAGGCTCCTCTAAAGTGAGTTTTTGCTAAAAAGGGTATATTCACCCTTAATTTAATTTGAAGTATATCATGATTTTAATCCATTAAAAGTTAAGAATAAATATGAGAATATAATAGTAGTGACACATAAGAGAATAAAATAGTAGTGACACATAGAGCTAGTGTACCTCAGAAATTCGGGAGGTCAATTTGTGAGGTTGATTAGAAAGATGTCCCAAAGAATCAATCATACGGCCAAACAAAATAAAGAATACAGGAAGAGCCGCACCATGGACACATGCACCAATGCTTCCTAAGAACATTAAGACATAGTCTAATGTATCAGCTGCACCAAACAACCCAAAAAACGAAACACTCTTAGTTTTGGTTGGTTGGTCCACTTTAGATGTCAGGTGTTGTTCTAAATGGGAATCAGAGGCTAGCTCTAGTTCTTCCATTGAATATGAATATTGAAAGAGTACAATTTGCAGAGAGAAAAAAAAAAGTGAAATATAGCTATCCAAGACCTCAATGGAAAACTCGCGAGGCTTGGTTGGGGTAGTCTAGTCTATTCCCCCCAATAAATATAAAGTAGTTAAGTTTAACTATTCCAACTAACAATTCGGCTCTATAACTAACTTTTTTGAAATTATTAATAGGGTAATAAATGGTTAATGAGCAGTAGTGGATGCGATTATGTTATCCAGCATTAACACACGTAAACTTCAGTTATTAAACCAACAACCTCTATGCCGATTTTGTAGTTCAAAGAGCCCCATATTTGATCATGTGACTTGTTGTCACTTGGTGAGCCCATACTTTCTTTTACAACCTGGTTATATAATTCACTTGGTTCAAAGTGCCCCATATTTGATCATGTAACTGGTCACTTAATAATTCACTTCATTTCATTGCTTAGGTCAGGGTGTAACTGGCGAAGTTAAAAGGCAACCTCCATACCCACGATTGGGATGTTTTTTCATCAAAAGTAGGTGACCTAGAACAAATTTTAAGAATAATGAGATTGAGATGTTTTTTTTCTAGTCCATGGATTGGTTTTAGTCACAGCAAAATTAGTTGAACTTGGTTTCTCTAATGTTGGGTTTTGCTTCAAGGACATGTTTGCAATCCTCACATTTAGTTATAGAGCATTGATGGTCCACCAAGGTTGAGTTTGTGTGTGTGTGTGTGTGTGTGTGTGGTATGACTTTTTTATTTCTAAGAGGTAATGTTATGGACTTCAAATGCTTCACAACTTAATGTAGGCATTGTAAACGCCTCCTTTCTTTTAATATACTCCAGCCTTGTTGAAAACCCTACATATAAAGGTTGCAAAAGAGTAAAGGGGAAAAGAGAGAGCAAAAAACACATTACGCTTTATGGTGTTCCTTTTATTTTCCTTTATTTTCCTTTTTTTTTCGGGTGTTGGCCTAATATATAAAAGACCTCAGACTTCGAAAAGAAGTACTATCATCACAAGCTTCATTGCACCTTGAAGTCAACCTCCTTGTCATTATCTTGTTTTGTTCATTTCATCATCATAAAATTGGAAGCCAAACCTCTCATTTAGGAGTTGGTTGGCACACAAACATAGCAAATTATTGCAATTTTAACATGATAATAGTTGGTGAGATATCTTAGATGTCCAAGCATATGTGATGCATTTGTTTAGTTGTACTGATTAGTCATGGGCAATTAACTTTAGATTATTTTTTAAAATACCATATCTAACTAATTAATAAATAAAAATTACATCAAATTTTTGTATAATATAATTATAAATTTTAGCAAAGTAATGTCAATAAACAAAGTATAATTTTTTTATAAACAATAATAACAACAACATTTTTCGATTACATTTTATTACATATTTATTTTCATTATATGTATTTTTTGTCAATTTGTACATTAATGGGAGACGAATTTGGATATTTAACAAAAAATAATAATTAAATCTCATATTCATAAGTAGCTAAGATTTTATGAATTCGAAAGGATATCACCTGCCTATACACACATTAATATCTTAGGAGGATAAAAGTTTTTTTAGGATACCCATGGTCATCTTGGAGCCTACCAAATATATACATTTTGCTCGTATATGTCTATCATTGGGATTAAATGTGGACATCAAACACGTTCATAAAGGTCTGACTTAGTTCAATTTGTAAAACTGTTTATTACAATTATCTATGTGTTATGAAATGAAGGGGGAGTTGTATTCAAAAAAAAAAAAAAAAAATGAAGGGGGAGAGATAAGGAAGAGACATGATACAATACAACGTGAAAGAAATAAGAGAGAAGATAAAAAGGAGTAGAGAAGATAAAAAGAGTGGAATAGAATTCTAATTCTCATTAACCAATAGTTTTCAATACAAGCTCTACAACCACAAATAAGGGAATTAATTCTCCATTAGTGTGGTGGTTAAGAAATCATAAAAGGAATTATTGCATCATTAGTGCAACGGTTACAAAGTTTAAAATTTAAAATAATTGCATCATTAGTGCAACAGTTTCAAAGTTTAAAATTTAAAATTCAAGTCATCCATAAATATTTTATAACACTCCTCATTGGATGACTATACACTATGAATATGCCTCATTAAAATCTTGTTAAGAAAACCCAATGAGATAAAAAAAATTAGTAAAGGAAAAAGAGTACAATATTCATAGTTAACATACCACCTTTAATATGTTAATATAGATTGCCCCATTAAAAATCTTTTCAAGAAAAAATTTAATGGGATAAAACTTGGTAAAGAGAAAAGGAGTGCAGTGTATATAATTCCCCCTCAATTAAGTCATTTAGCTACTGTTGGAGCTAAGAAAGTGGAGCAACATTTACAATTTTCCATAATGGTTATCTAATAATATAATCTTCTCCTGTAAAAAAAAATGTAGTAATGTCTAATCTATTAGATTGGTAACGCCCATTTGCACTTTCTCTTGGACATCATTGCACTAAGTTTATGTCTCGTTAAAACCTTGTTAGAAAACCCATTGGAAAAAAACTAGCGAAAGAAAAAGAGTACATGACATATGCTACCAAAACATTACACAAATTGTCTCATTAAAAATCTCTGGTCAAGAAAAATCCTTTGAAAAAAAAAACTTGGCAAAGCAAAAAAGAGTATAGTAATAAACCTTCAGGGTTCATCCTTCAATGATGGTCATAATTAATTTGCTTCCCCTGATGAAAGTAATTTGTTAGGTTTATGAATACATATTTCATATACCAATTTCTCAGGTTTGGAAGTAGGTGAGGTATCTAGCGAATAAATCTGTAAAATTGTCATTATAGCAAACTTGATAGATATCTATTTCACATTTCTCTCGGAGATCATGTGTGTAAAAAAAAATTGGTGAAATATGCAATCCTATCACTCTTAATATATCCATCATTTATTTGTTCAATACAAGTTGCATTGTCCCCAAAGAGGACGATTTAGCTATATATATTATCAATTGTTAATGATAGCGCCCAAAATTGGAGAGCTATCTTGTGTATTTCATGTGTATTTCATTGCTGAATTCACCACTTTTTAATGTTAATTTTGTGAATTAGAACTAAGTTTGCGTCAAGAGAAATTAATTGTTATTTAGGCTGGTGCACTTTGCAGTTTTGGAAGTTAGGGAGCAACTGAGTGTAAAATAATTTATTTTTATCATTTTTGGGCTTAATGGATCGTTTTTCATTTTCAGGAGGCCCAATGACCATTCAGAGGAGGCCCAGTTCAGAATTAAATTAAACTTAGGGAGAAAGAAAGAAGAAAGAGACAAAGGGAGACAAAAAAGGACACATATCAGAAGGAGCAGAAAAAGCATTGTACAACGTCCTTTTTCCCAGAAAAAGCAACCAATTAGATGCGGACACATAAATGATTGCAGAGGGAGAATGGTGCAACATTTTGCCAACGTTACAGCACCAAAATGCAGCAAAAGAATGCAGAAAAGAAGCTTAGAAGAAAGAATTTAGGGCTGACTTGGACTAGAGCACATCACTGATCAGGGTGCAACTGATGAAATCTACACTATTGATCAAATCAATGGCCAAGACAACACCTTTAAGGAACCTTTCACCTATAAATACTGAAGAAATCACTACCTTCATAAGCTTTTTGGCACTCTTAGAGAAGACTCTTCACCCTTTTTAAGACTTTGTTCTATTTTTTTGGTTTTATGTTTCATTTGTAAGTAGGCTTTTATTATGCTCCTTAGTATGAGCTAAATATTTTTAGTAGGCAAGGGTGAAGTAGAAGTACCCCTCTTTGTCTTAGGTTTGTAATGAAAATATATTTTCTTCAATGAAATATGTGTTGTTTCTTGGTTAAATGCTCTAATTTTGTAACACCCTTTGGTTTGCAACCTCATCCCAAGACAACTTGGTCGATGAAAGCCTCACAAAGCAGTGTGAAGCAATATTAGAAATATTAGGATATTTTGCTCTAAGTTAGAGGAATATTCCGATTGAGGAGCAATATTATGTGTAAATCACTTTTGTTAGTGATATCTTCAGCATACTTCTTCGAAGGAGACAAACATAATCTCCCTTGAGTTTCAACTTGAGATTCCTGACGTAATCTGGAGCAAGTAAGGCTTGTTTGCTTCGGATAACTTAGGGAGCAAAATATGTATAGATAGAGAAATTTGTCTCCATACCCAGAATAGGTTCTATGAGCACATTTTGTTTTTGAAATCTTATGACATTGTAGGATCGACCAAGAGGGAAAAAATACCAACCTAAGCCTACAATTTTTTATCTTGTTCTATATACGTTATTTTATTTCTCTTTTGTTACTTTTTTGATAAATATGAAAATTTCAAAAAGAATTATTGTTTTGCTCTCTGTTTCAGTCACTGCTGCTCCCGATCTCTTTATTTTTTTGTTCATCTTTCCCAATTTCCACATTTTTCAAATTCCTTCAAGGCAAGTTCAATAAAACTTAAAGGAGAAACCCAGCTCTTAGTCACTCAAATTCTTTGATTCTATTCAACCAGCTGGTGACAAGTGCATTTTGGTTAACCTTGGTTTGAGAACGAATTGGCTCCTTGAAGCGAATTGCTCTTTACTTATTGTTTGTTCTTTGTTTTCTTTTTCTTATTTACACTTCTTTTAAATGTCACTTTACAATTGTTCCCTGAGGAAAATAATCTGGGGCTCATAACAGACCCTATATTACTTGATGCGTACGCTTGCATAATTTGGGTATATTTTCTCTTCATATGATTAATTGCTCTTCGGATAGAATAGTTGCTCCCCACTACTTTTTCTCCCACATTTCCCGAGCACATCTCGTCCCAACAAGTAATTGGCGTCGTTGCCAGGGATCATTAGGCAAAAGAGACATTTTAAAAGAAGTGTTTTCTTATTTTCTTTTGAAAAGTTTGTATTTTTATTTTATTCTTGTTTATATTTGTTGTTTTGCTCTATTGCTCCTGATTTATGACCATTGTTTATGAACATTGAAGCGAACCTACTCTTAAACTAATATTGTTTTGTCCAGAATATGAAAGAACACTTAGGAATAGGAAAACAAT